TGTCATATTGATTTAAAATAGTTAATGAAAGAGTGAATTACACTAGCTTAGTAAGAATATCAAGTTACTCACCAATACAGAAATGAAGGTAGATAAAAATCATGAAAATAATTAATTGAGCTCTGAATTTAAATAAATTCATTTATCATAAATAAAATCATTTATTGTACATTTACCGTAGCGAAAATTTCAAAACTGACCTATAAAGGCAATAATACGATAATATCATAATCTCATATAAAATTAAGTAAGAATAATAACTTTCACTTTTATCTGCATACTAGTATCCGTGGGGGTTTATAGGGATGTCTCAACTACGCGTGAACCTTTATTCAACATTTTCAACAAACCGATTATCCCCATATCCCGTCCGGTATGAGTGCCAAAAATATCATCTCTCAATACCCCGTCCGGTATGAGAGTGAAACAAGTTATTCTCATACCTCATTCGTTATAAACGCCAAAATACCAATCCTCAATACCCCATCTAGTATGAGGCAATGTTCACAGCAGGGTTCCCTATGCACCTGATCCGTCTACCATCTCTCAAGATATCCAATAAGGCTACCATTCATTCAATCACTTAATCAAATAATTTCCTATTTACATTTAATTTATAGTTTCACAATTTAACAGTAAATCACGCAAAACAAGCAATACATGCATCAAGGAAGCACAACCGAATCATCATACCAACTCCAGTATAATATTATATATTTGAAACGGTAAAATCAATCAAACAAGATAACAGTGAATAATAATCGATTCCGGCTCCATTAGTAACTTGTGATTAATTATTGAAATTTTTTAAATTGTATAAAATACCACATTATTTATAATTAAACTTTAATTCCATAACAGAGAATATGGTGAGAATTCTTACTCGAATAAGTATCCGAATGCTAAACTTTCAGCTGCACCTACTGGCAGTCACTAGGTTCCCTGGTTTTTTTTTTCGGAGATTAAAACATACTTAAAGTACCTAGAATTATCCCAAAAAATCTAAAATCGGTGTTAAAATCCTTTTTCAGCAAATTTTAAAATTCTGGCACGGTGGCACCACTGTGCTCTGGCAATGGCATCGCCACCCGCAATGGTAATTTGCCTTGGACTAATCATTTTCGGCTAGTTTCGACTGATTTCGGCCGGTTTTGTACTCATCCTTCCAAGAAAATATGTTAAAGAACATCGGTTCACTGAAAAAAATCGAAAAAAAAAACTTACTGGTGGCGAAATTTTCCGGTGTAGCGGCTCCGCTAGCTCACATTCGTGATTGGACGTTTTGTTTCGGTCAACCTATGGAAAACAGAAAGGTAAATACAGTGGTGGAAAAATTGCACGCAACGAAAATCGGAAAAGGTCTTATCAGAGGCAGTTTTTGATTTTTTTCGCGGTGGCGGCGCCGGGCTTTACCTGCAGTTTTCAGCTCATCTACCGATTCTTTTACTCTGATTTTGCCATGGTGGGGGATTCAAAATTGAATTTTGAGCGAATGAGAAATTTTTTACCTCTTTTGGTAGTCGGAGGTGGCTCCGGCATGACGGTAGATGGCGGTCGGCTCTCTCTCCCAGCGACTAGTTATTCTTCTCCGGTGGGGGGTTGACAGCTAGAGTTATGGTTCGGTGTGAAATAAAGTATTTATATCCGTCTCCCTTTAATTTGAACCGTCCATCGTGTTTGATCTCAATCGTCCGATTGCATTTAAATAGAAAATGAATCTAAACCATTCATCGCGATTTGATCTCGACCTTTCGATTGTGTTTAAATAGAAAATAAATCTGAACCATCCATCACAATTTGATTTGGATCATACGATCGTGCCTCACAAGGGAATGGATCCAGACTGTTCACGCGTGCGAGCATAATTTTGGACTGTCCGATTTCGGGCACACGGATTACCAGCATGGCCTTCCACGTGGCACTGCATCAGCGTGCCTTGCCACACAACGCACTCCGGTTCGTCGAAGCTGCTGACTAAGCGGTCTTACGTGACACATTTCTCGTAAATTACGTTTTAACCATCAGTTTTTGAATTTTCTTTTAAAAACACACAAAGAATCTAAATTTTCACATATTTTTTGTAAAATTATTTTTAATTTTGTCCTCACCTACTTTTTCTAATTTTTTTACATTAAATAAAATTCATAAATTAAAAAAAATTATATTTTATACATTAATTTTAAAATTAATTATAAATATTACATATTATTATTGACATATATTTTAATTATAAAATATTTAGTTTGGAGTATGATTATTATTATTTGATTTCATGAAAACTCATAATTATTTTAAAAATATTAGAAAAAGTTTTCTGGATGTAATTTTTCCAAATATATTTTAAAATTAATATTAAAAACTATCTTCTGCGAGTAAGAAAAATTAGTTGAAAATAATTAATTATTAATAAATTTTTAAAAAAGTAAAGTTGAGCGTGAAAATATCAATTAATGTACGAATAATAAAATAAACATATTCATAGTTG